GGCATTAGTACGTCTATCGATACTTTCTTATTTCCATGAAGGGAATTAAAACTAAAAAAAAAAAAAAAAAAAAAAAAAAAAACAAAAAGAAAAAGGCGGCTTGGAAAAAGAAGCTGGAAAAGAGAGAGTACAAAGTCATCAAAAAATGGATATTTAGCACCAAGTAAGATCTCGCCGAGTCAATTCACCTCTTGTCCCGAAAAGTACACCGCACTATGATTATACAGATTTCAAAAATCTTGCCGACTTGAGTCACTTGAGCAGAGATCCATTACAAGAACAATGAGAAAACATTATCTAACACAAGATCAATTTGCACACCATTCCTTCCAATGTGGCTCAGTTCTGCCCCCGGCCTCTTCAAACGAATTCCATTATCTTTATCTGTTCTTGGTTTTATTCGCGCTCAGAAAGCCAAATTTCCTGTCCTCAAGCATCTATTGGGGCTGTGGTTTAGTGGTATAATATTCCCTTAGCATGGGAGAGGTCCGGGGTTCGATTCCCCGCAGCTCCATCCTTTTTTGGCTTTTTGGTTGCTATCTCCGTTAGCTGGAGAAGATCTGTGGTCAGATGCTGAGGCGGGTGGTGGGTCTGCGCGCTCTGGAGTGATCTACTAATTTTAGAGAAGGGCGATCAGATCTGCTGCAGAGATTCTTACGCCCAGATAACTGACCAGTTGCTGGAGGATGCGCCAGTAGCTTCATCCGTAAGATAACACTAATGTAATCGTCAGCCGAGCGAGCCACGCAAGCGAGCGAGCCACCCCCCCTGAATCCTTCCACCTCCAAAACTGAAGTAATTCAGCAGTTAATTATACTACTAAAAATACCAAAATCATCAAAAGAGTTGTTGTATTAAAAAGACCGAATTTATCTTACTCTTAAAGCTATAAAAACCGGTCAAGTTATCTTAATTTGTAAAGCTACTGATGTTTTTAATATTTCTTACTTAACTCTTTAATACTGTATAAATAGCCGTTTATTTCGTTAAAAAACTTGCTCTAATTTGTATAAACTTACTGCGAGAGAAGAATAAATATTTAAAAAGTAGATTTTTTTACTTAATATATATAATATATTTTTAAAAAATTCTGTAGTTTATAAAATAGCTAATATATTGCTTTAGAAGTATAAAAATTAGAAAAAGCTGATAACTGTAGAAAAAAATAGATTATAAACTTTATTATATATTATAAAACTTTAAAAAGTTAATATTTCTATCAGCTGGATACCAAACGGACGAAGTATAAGAATTTATAAATTATATAGATCTGGTTTAACTATATTTAAAAGACTGTATTAGAGTATAAAATTCTTAAAAAAAATATCTTTAACTTTAATAAAACCGGCTTTATAATAGGCCAAATTATAATAGCTAAAGTAGTTACTTAATTAAGCTGTTTAGAAAAATCTTTTTTTATATAATCAGATAACTGTAAATAAATAACTTTAATCAAGTATATTAATACTACCGGCTGGATATTAAAACTATACTTAATTTTTAAAAAAATAAATTATATAGTAAGCTGGTATAAAGTCTTAATTCCGGATAATTAAAAAATTAATATATCTCTAAATAGCTGGATAAGCAATAAAATTGGTTTATATTAGCTTGAATATTATTTTATTTTATTAATAATTAACCAATAAATTAGTAAATATATTCTATTAATTCTTAATAGCTATAAATTATATTTAATATCTAAATTTAATAATTTATATTATATAAATTATATTATTCTTATTTATATATTTTCTGGTTTATTATATCTCTGCCAGCTATTAGATGTTTTTTATTTTATATTTCTTAAGAAGGTATATTACAGCTTAATAAAACATTTTATATATACCTAATATTTAAAGATTAATAAAGATAATTTCTTAGAGAAGTATCTAAAGACTTATACTATAGTATTTAAAAAAGCTAATATACAGAGTATTTTTAAGACTTTAGATTTAGTTCTATATAATCCAAGCCAAGTATTTAACAAGCTGATTTATAAGGATTTTAATAACCGGCCAAATAGTTAAGATTCTCGGTTAATAATTTCAAAAATATCTGTTAATACAAATTAGTTTAAAAAGTAAGTATAAGGGCTGGACCAGCCCTTCCAACCTTCGCGGATACCGCGAAGGAAAAGCTATATATATATAGCCTTAGACATCGGTTATATAATAATTAAATAAGCCGATTATAATCTTTTAATTAGAAGCAGTATTTTATAATTTAAAAAGATTAGTAATAATATTTTAAAATAATATAATAATATTTTTAAACTTATAAAAGTTATTTATTTTTTATATTATTTTATTTCTAATTTTTATAATCTTATTATTTATATTTTATAAAATAGTTTGTTAAATAATAACTAGATATAATATATAAAGCTAAATCAGAAGTAACTTTTCTAATCCGATTATAAAAAACTATATATTAACTGTAAAAAAAAAGTTTTATATAATAAAAAAAAAGTATAAATTTTTATTTATAAACTTTATAAATAATTATAATTATTTAGATAGATCGCAAATATCTAAAATAAACTAAAAATTAATATTATAAAAAAATAACTATATAAAAATCTAGAGAATTCTAACTCTAGTACCGCGGAGACTAAAAAAACTAGTATATATATTAATCTATTTATAAATAAAAAATAATATAATATTTATAATTATATTATTTATTATATATTTATTACTAGATAAAAATTAACTATAAAAATTAATAATTAAAATAAAAATTAGAAAATATATATTATAGTAGCCTATCTAAACTATATTCTAAATAATCTATAAAAAGATAAAACAGCCGAATCTTATTATAAAAAAAAATAGACTAGTTTTTATAAGTTTTTTAAAATACAGCTAAAAAATCCCGTAAATAAATAGTAAAAAATCTGATTAAGAATACTTAAAACTAAGTTTTATAAAAAAAAACTAAAGTTTATTTATTTTTAGTAATAAAAAAAAAATAAAAACTAAATTAGATCGCGAGATATAAAATATTAATATTATATAATTTTATTTATTTTTTATATTATTTTCTTTTACAGTCTAAAAAAAGATTTATAAATAATAAATTTTTTTTATAATAAAATAAGATCTTATTATACTACTTACAAGATTACATCTAGTATTAAGCTAATAATATAAATAAATAAAAAATATAATATTTTATAAACAGATTTTAAAAAAAAGTTATAGATTTATTATTTTTATAAATAAGATCCGGAAGCTAAAAACCCGAACTAATAGTTTTATAAAAAAGATTTAGAGACTAAAATAATCTTTTTTAATAATATAAATATTTATAGAAATTCTCGGATTAAGAGTTTATTATAATTATAAAAAAATAGATTATTAAATAAAAAACTATTAGTTAACTAAACTATTTATAAAATAATTAGTAAGTAGAATTACAGTATTTATTTTAAACTAAATTAAAATTATAATCTATTCTAATTTAAGACTAAAAAAATAGCTGATTTTTTATAAAAAAAAATATCTTATAGAAATTAAGATTATTATAAATAATAATATAGAAGTAAATCTAGTACCTGTAATACTTACTAAATAAGTAGAATAGTTAATTATTCCGGCGAAAATATTTATAAAAAAGATTAAATAAAGAAATATATAGTTAAAAAAAATTATAATATTTATAGTATATCTAGAAAAT